GGGGGGGGGGGGGATAGATTGATATTATTAATACTAATAAGGTGATGAGGGGTGAACAGACTAGGATGATGGTAGGAGGTGTTAAGTGGGGTAATGGAAGGTGAAGGTGTTCATGGGATTTTGGAACCATCCCAGCATTCACCTTGTGACCTAGGAAAACCATGAAAACCCTGGTCAGGATGGCTGGCCTGGAGATCAGACCCGAAACTCTAGCTTGCAAATCCAGCCCACTTCGCAGTGAGCCACATTGCACATTATTATTATTATTATTATTATTATTATTATTATTGAAAACTATTTTTTTCATCCTCAAAAACCTTTACTTGACACACAATAGTTTTTAAAATGCCATTCCTAAAATAGTCAGTATAAACTGGCACATATTCTATTATTAACTAGGTTGTTGATTGGTGGCTACATAATTAATGTATTCCATGAAATTGTGAAACCAAGCAGGAAACCAATAAAAAGACAGCAATTTGGGAGGGAGAGAAAAAAGACAAGGAAAACAAATGTCACGAGACAAAAATTATCAATTTTCATATATATATAGTTTATCAGAAAATTACACTTATTACACAAAAATATACATCTTAGCAAAAATGTGTGCACACATTTTAAGATTCTTGGTTTATCACTGTTTTTATGAGATAAAAAAATGAACATTTATTTCATTCCAAGCTTCCTCACATAAGTACATATTAAACAATGTAGACGAATTATATCATATGCAAAATATTAATAGAATTAACAATACAGCTAAAACAAAAAACCCTCCTCTCCATACATGAAATCTCTCTGAATCATTAAATATCATACACTTTAATAGACACAAATCAACAATAGAAAGTACATAAAAAACAGTAAGTATATATATTTTATTTAAAAATAATATTTATCAAACACAAAAGTGCCCAATGGCAAACAAAGAGGTCTCTCGTTTTCCGAATGCTATGTTTCAAAGACCCAGTCACATGGCAATTTTGGCAGTTTGGATGCAGGCCAAGGAAGATAACCAGCAGTCTTGAATACCCAATAATCGTAGGACACTTTACTAACAAGAAATATAAGAAGTGTGACTTCTCCAGCTATGATGTAATAAATGTAATCAGTCCAATTTCTTTGTGTCACACAGACCTCGTGTTGTTCCAGTTCTATAACCTGCAAATGAAATTATATGACTGTAAAGAAAACATTAATGTTTCAATATTTCAATTAACATTATTATAAAGATGAGGAAACATCAATAACATATTACAAGGTGACAACTCCTTCAAAACTAAATTTTCCATCCAAATATCCTTGAGTTTGTACGAATCTCACTTCACATTAACAAGAAAACTGGTATACCTTCCTACAAGTATGACTTTTCTTACATTTAATATTTTGAAAAGAAAACTTCAAAAGATATAGTTTCATTTATTAGTCATGATTCATTAGTTATTGATCATTACAAAATATTGAATACTCACACATATATGATAAAGTTAAAAAATTATATTTATTTAAAATGAAGCACATTCACTGACTAAAGAGGAGGATAAAAATGCTCTGATAAAGTTTGCCAAATTTTCTATTTCAAAGATTTATGAATTTTGTTCCAATGCAGCAACAAAAGCATATAGATAAAACACTTCCACTGTATTAACAGAAATTCAAAAACAAAAGGCCAAATAAAACAGTTTCCAAAAGAGTACAACCTAGTATTATCATTGTATAATAATAATAATGTATAAGAGCTAATAATATTAGGAGATTATATTACTTCATTGAACTACAACCATTAGTGAAAGGTAAGCATATACTTTTCAAACAGAATGGCTACCTTATAAGACAATATTATTTCCACATCAAAAGTGCTACAGCAGATACAATGCATGTTCACTGCTACCTGAATCTGCAAACTGCATGAATTATAAGTAGGCAGTGTATTCCCTCAAGGAGTCATAATTTAAATAAAAAAATTACTTCTCCGATTGTACATCCAACTCTGAAATGGCCAGACGTGCATCCATGATTTTTCTTACGAGGAGTCTTAATTGATTTGTTTTCTTATAAAGTATTTTTCATTTTGCTGAATATGAAATGTATTTTTATTTGTTGCCTTATTGTTCATATTTATGAATTCCCACACATTGAAGGTGCAAGATTGAATACATTTCATTAGTATAGAAAATGAGTAAAAGCTTAATTTTGAATCTCTAGCTTCAGGAGCTTCAGCTTGAATATTGGCTCCAGACTGCTGGATGATGCCAAAGAGTAGTGCTTTTGCTGCCGAGTACAACATATACTCATAATTTCACATTACTTACAGTAAAAATTGAATATTCCTTTGTATACATTTATTTGCAATGCAAGATTAAAAATTAACAAAATTTAAATTATGACTTACAGGTTTTTGGATGTTTCTGCAGCCTACTTCCTTATAATCTTGAATATATGGTTTATTCAGCATTAACCAAATCTTGAAGGAAAAAAGACAAATAAATTCCAAGAAATGCATTGCCTAAATCTAGAATAGCCATACTGTGGTGGCCTTAGAATGTCATGGTTCCATCCAACTGAGAGGAAATAAACAAGAAAACATTTTAAAAGTTTTCAAGTGTCTAATAAAGACTTGCATATTGCTTTGTCTTTTTGTTCATAAAAGATTTTCTCCAAGTCTAATGTGAAATCTCTTTAATTTATTGCAGATACAAGTTCTAACAGAGTGTGATAAATCATCATTTTGGCCCAAAATGTCAGAAAGAACCTGCCATTCCAAAGCAGCGACATATGACGAAAAACACCAGGCACATGGCACAATCACCATTAATATTAATATAAATCTGTATTTTTATTTCTAGCTACAAGTTGTGTATAATTAAAACTATTAAATAATTAAATTATGTGTTCTTGACACAATACATTACAAGACATGTTATCTGTCGGCTCTAAATTTTTCAAAGTTAATTTCCCTGTAGGACGAAGTTTTACTCTCCTTTAATATTCTAAAAGTAATATTTTGAACTTATAATTAGTAAATTGAGGAAACTACATAAATATGTATTTTGGGCACCGATAGATGGTAGCTGTCAAGAGAAGGGGGCAAGATCGTAAAGTTAGCACTCCCCAAGGAAATTAGAAATCTACTATGAGAGAGTCTGTGCCATTCTATTGCACCACTAGTTCAACAAGTATACAATAATTGTAATCTGACATCTTTTTAAAGTCGTTAATATTTACATTACCGATGATTTGTATGCATTGTTGTATTCATAATTTAAGCTATTAAATGTTGAATACTGAAATTATGGCATATGGATTTTTGATTTCCTGTAGCACCATAGCAGTATTACCTTAAGACTTTGTGCAGTATTGCAGTCGCATATTAATTTGTTGCCTCCAAGATAGACTCTAGAATACATATTACGATCAAAGCTATTTGATAAGAAGTATGTAGGAACCTGAAAGACATGAACAAATTTCTTACATTTTTATCTTCAAAAATACATTGAAAAGTTCAATTTGAAAATTGTTTTTTGACTTACTGAACTTAAATTGTTTCGACGTAGATCCAAGATGGAAAAATTGCTTATAAACGATGTTCCTTCTAGAACTGCTATTGAAGAAATGCAATTGTTGCTTGCTTTGAACATACTGATACTACTGTAAGAACTATCTTTCATTTGTTCTAAGCTGGTGATCTAAACACAAACCATTGTACAATAAGTTAAGAGGGAAAGTTTACATTAATACCAAACTACATTGAGACATAACTAACATTGTTATTTGAGACATCCAAAGCAACAGTGTTTGGTGGAAGCTGCGATGGTAGAGATTTCAGTTGTAAGTTAGAACAGTTTACTAGCAGCGCTATCAAAATAGTTTCATTGACTCGAGGGATGTATCGATGTATAATACAGCGACATCCATGGCGTCCTACTGTCTCTGCACACTGTCTCTGGTCGCAACAAAAACATATGGAAATACAAAGTTTCTAATATATCTATTTAATAAGGAAATATAAATGCACTTTAATATGATGTTATGCAGTATTAAACAAGGCTTACATCTAAAACATCTTCAAGATGAGAAAGACTAATTGTAACTGCACTTTGAAACCAATGAAAATCTTTCAGAGCAGAACAAACTGTTATATTTCGGTTTCTAAATTCTAATGACTTTTTTTTCTTATCAATTAACTCCTTAACATTATTGCAGTCTATGCGATTGTTACCTGCAAAATGAAGAAATGTCAGTTTACCATAAACAGCTGTATACGTAACTGAAATAAGTAGAAACAACACATTACCTGATATATCAAGTGTAAAATTGTGTTTGATATCCACCATAACATCTGACTCAGGAAGATACGAGAGATTATTTTTTGAGATATCTAAAATTCTTAAATTAGGCATACTATCATTTTTAATGGTAACATTATTTAGACCATTATTTGACAAGTTGAGACATTTCATTTCATGAAATTTTCCTGTGAAAGAAATGTGTTTAATGTTGCCATTAGTAATGGTCAATGATTTCACATACATATCTGCTGGCAAGGTCATATTTTCAATTGTTATATTGTAAAGATGTAGATGTGTATAGTTTTTCATCCCTGAAAGAAAAAATAACTAGTAAAAATTTGAGAAATCAATAATATAATTACTTAATGAATAATATTGAGTAGTATTTCAAATTCAAGACCAAGGAAATTAGCAAATGAATTCCAAAATTCAAATCTTTGAAGAAAAGGAATGCGACTAAATGAGTCATCTTTCATTGAAATTTTTTTACATGGGAAATAGAATTCTTAATGTAGTTTTAAATATTTAAATACTTTTAAGATTGAGAGTAAACACAAACCAAAAATAATTTACTTTCAAAAACAATTCCATTCCTCAGAAAACTTCAAACAATATTCCCATAAAAACTTGACATTCATCTATTTTATGTTACTTCATACATAAAGAAAAATAAGTAGAATTATTTAATGTCATTAGGTTACTGTTGGATTGTTAAAACATATGCTGCATTAATGGTGATAGTGTTCACTCCACAATTTTTTGTATTGCAAATTAATATTGGCCAACAAATTTCAAGTGAACTACAGCACAAAGCACTTTATATTCACTACTGATTTAGATTCTATGTGATATTACTCTCAATATAATGAAAAACTACAGTTGGAAATTATTATAATGAATATTCATATAAGTTGCATTTTAACGAGCGCAGGTCTAGAAAAATTGTACACGAAGAAAATTATGAAAGCAGTTCACTTTCAAAACATGTCAGAAACATTTAATGGTGAAAAAGAGACACTAATACATAATAAGTTGTAAATAATCACCTCCTAATGTCTCCTTAAAGTTGAATTTTTTTACATTGCAATACACAAGACTATCATTTCCACACTTGGAACATGGAGTTTCCTGGCAACCATAATGGCATTTCTCCAGACCACACACTTCATTTATTGAAGAAACCAAGATGAAAAGAAAGGCTGCAGTCAAATGGCCTTGATGCATCTATAAAAATCATAATCATTTTCTAGCAACATCAAAACCAATTATCAGCATAATCCACATGAACAATACTAATAAACTAGTAACAATAGGGTTCCACTAACTGGTTTACAATATCAGATATATATTGTCATAAACTTCACGCCAGTTACTAAAATTCAAAATGGTTAATTATTACAATATATAAAATACGATAACCATGGAAATTATAATTAAAAAACCACCTTATTCTACGGAAGTAGTGTGATTTTGCTGATACACTCTTCCAGTTAATTTAGCAACATTTTCCAATGAATCAACATGACAGTTCAAAATACGTTCGTTTAAGCGCATATGTCGTTGGAACATATCTCTTTCAACAATACATATTTTCGAGCAACAAGTACAGGTGTATTCATGTAACACGGCAGTCAAAGGCACAAGAACACTGAAAACTCAAGTTTCTTCGTGCTTATGTAGGGGGTATAAACAAAACGACAATACCCACTTTGAACAATTACAGTACACATAGAACAAAAACACACACGAAAAAAATGTTCAAGAATACGGGCACTGACTGGGGCCCATTTAATTCACAACCGTGAGACTTGGGTGAAGTGAAATATGCGACACCTATGCCCCTGACAGAACCACAAGACCAACCAATAACACTGGGTGGCCAAGGAGATCTCGCGTTGTGCGTGCGGCAAGTGTTGATATTTCCTGGTTCCTGCTCACGAAGCGCTGCTGCGCAAAGCTATCGGCATCTGGATCGCGCTATACGATTGATAGCGCATGGCCAAGGCAGCCCTATGATTTGAACAATAATTGTGGTATTATAGTTTTTTCCTTATTATAAACGCCATATTGCTCTATTCTTTTGTTGTTGTTTTTCCTTTAAAAATTACAAAAATGTAACGTTTTTGACTCGTCTCTCATGTTGTTAATATTTATATTAGCATCAACTTGTACACATTATTATATTTATGAGTTCATGTGCTATAAATAATGTTAGACAAAGTTTCTTGAAAACTCAACCGTTTTCTGTGAAAACTAGCTTAAAATTCCGCATTTTCAGAAACGCTAAAACTCCATTTCCTCAAAAACGTCTCCAATTTTTTCTTTAAACATTTCGAACGCATATGCTAATTCCACTATTTAATATGACGTAAAGTTCATTGTATTTTTTGATTTTTCAAAAATTACACAAATGTAAATTGTTTGAAAGATCTCTCACGCCGTTGATTTGCACATTTCCAGCAATTTGTAAACACTACTGTATTTGTGATTTTGTCTACTTAAATTGAATTTAGATTAAGTTTTTCGAAAATTCAATAGTTTTCAGTGAAAAGAGGTTCAACTTTCGAATTTACGTACTTTCGAATTTACAACAACTTTCGAAAGTAGCGCTTAAACGCTAGTTTTTTTTTTAAAACACGGCTCCAAAATTGCCATTTAGGAGGTTTTATAGTTCTTTAATAATGTTAAAACTATTTCCATTCTACTATTGCACAAACAAAAAAATTAGAAATTTAAAAAAATGCACTTTGAGCGGCGATAGATAGCAGCTGGTAAGAGTATCTGGCAAGTTCGCATTGCTAGCCCAAACTAAAAGAAATACAAAAAATTACGGGAAAGTCTGTGCCATTCTGTAGCAACATGCATTATTACTACAAAACTTGTTACACAAAACTAAAGAACGTTTTACTCCGAAATGGTGTTCAATTCCATACACTTGGGATTATTAAATCAAAAAGGATTACTTTTGTAGAAAGACATGCCTTCGATGCAGGATGCAAATTAGCAATTTTGTCCAGGGAAGGGCGAATTGACGAATAAAACGAAGCTACCTTCGCGTACATAGAATAAAACCTAAGATTGCTCTTGTCTAACGTGCCCCGACAGAAATTGGTCGTTAAAAGAGGTGGCCATTTTATTAAGACTGTGAGTAGTGAAGAAAGAATTTAGCACTTAATTCTTTTTAAATACCATTTTGAAAAAATAAAATTATAGCATTTAAAAAATTAAGATTTAACATTTTGTAGCATTTGTTGAGAAAGTTGTTATTAAGGAAGGACTCTTTAAGGTAGAAAAAAATGCCTGTTATATTTTCCCATTAAATCAGGAAATAAGGGAAACTAATGTAATATTTCGCCAATTGAATTTTCACATAACATAAAAAAAACTGTGTCTGTTAGGAGAAAAGGCTAGTGATATGGCGCCGATATAGGCAATCTGCCATACAACAACGTGATGAGTGTTGTCCCGTCAGGGGCCAATGGCACCTTTTCTGCCGTCTCCTATATTAGTTCTGCAGTACACAAACTAAGGCCTCTAAAGAAAGATAATTTCGCGGAGGCGTGACGAATTGAACACTGACTTTAAAAATATGAAGGATTTGTTGACAAAAACGCATTTAAACATGCACGAAAAATGCAATCCGCACAACACGGCCGTATTGCCAAAATCTACGTAGTTAAATAATACGCGTTCTAGGGCCTTAAAACCTGGAATCTTGAGGTCAAGTGCCTTAAAGAATCGTTTTCCGTGCCGTAATCTACAGAATGATATATTATTAAACATTCTATTACATTTTTGTTGTTCTGATGTTCCAATATTATCTCATACAAACTATATTACTTGGCGTTGGAGGCGATCTTTGTTTATGACGTCACTCTCAGAAGCCTTAGATTTCTACAACTTATGTGTATGCTTTCTGTGTACACCGTGGTTTGCGCCGACTGATGATGTTTATTTGCACAATATTTAATTCAAGATTATGCAAATAAACCTAAATACTCTCGCAGCAACAGTTAGAAGTATTAATAGTTGCTTGATAACAATGAAGATGGCTTTTTATGTGTATAGCGCAACCGTTAATTTATCGATTGTAAGTAATGATATTCTTATTTCTGGAGAAACGTTTGTGATATAACTACAGTATCTGATGAATCTGCAGAATCAGTAACATACAGAATCTGCAACTGTACGTGAAATGAAACTAATTATTTGATATTCTAGGCGTTAAAATTGCACGGGTGTACCTCTCAGTTCGGTAATAAAGTTAAATAATATTCCAAAGAGTCCTTGTCCGATCCTGATTTTCGCTTGGACAACTTTAAGTAGCTTTCTCGAGAGTAAAAATCTTTTGTAACATTTTTGTGACTATCGAGGAAAGCGAAAAGCTGACTGTCAAGGATGATTGTCTAATTATTTCAAATGCTGTTTTTAAAGAAGTGTGAATTCTTCCGAGAGCATGACTGTAATAAACCTTTATTCAAAATTTATTTCAAACATAAATTTCATTGTTATTTATTTTTATTTTAAATTCTTTATTTATTTATTTAAGTACATTAGAAGTTACCTTTTACATTTTTTTGAATAAAAACGTTTCGTTATGAACTTACCCTCTTAATATGGAAAAGGAAAGATAGGGAACAAGGTGGATTTTAACATGCGAGAGTTCTCGCTCGGATACGTTAGTTATAATTGATATTAATTAAAAATTATAATGTGATGAAATTTAAAGGGACTTTATATTCGGTTTCAGCGATCCCCAAAATATGTAAGTAACATAGTCTGACCCCTCGGTTATAAATATATTTTATGGACACTGGGTTCGGATTTAGCGGGTCCAGAATCACATAAAAAACATGGTCTGATCCCCAGGCACTTTTTGCTCTGTAATGAAGACGTAGGAATGGTTCAAAAATAACTTGAACTTTTGCCATTTTTGAATATCCTGTTTATGGTTCAGGTGCTAGTGTTTTAACAGACAGAAATCACTTCATCGTGTCAAGGATAAACAAAATGTGGATTCTTATACACTACGTATTTGAAAAAACAATTTACTATAGGAGCAAGAAAATCCACTTTTTCGATATCTGGGGAAAGGCGTCTCCATTTTTTCTTTCAAACTTTTGCTAAAATAAAGCAAAGTATGGTTATAAAAATGGCACAGGTTTGATTTTCAATTAACGTCTGAATTTTCGAAAATTGTCACAGTTCATTTTTTTCATCACTTCAGCTGCATTATTGAATATATAATATTATTGAATAGTATAAATTTTAAATGAAATAAATTCTTTACGTAAGGCATGGAAATTTTCAAATGAATTTGTGGCATGTGAGGCAGTTCAAATCCCTCATTTATCTTCTCTGTATCCTAATCGTTCCATATTCCCTTACCCTATGCTGTATGTCTGAGATGTGTGCCTAACTGAACTGGCCCCTACATTCAGATTAACGATTGATTATTTTCTTTTTCTGGGTGCGACAACTGCTAAGGTAATTGGCCCCGCAAGTTTAGTGCATGTTCATTCTCGGGAGTGGGGGTAATCTTCCCCTGCTGGATACTGAGGTCTGGCTCCGACTCAGAAATCGGTTAGCGGTTTTTTCATCCTCCTCCGCCTTGAATTGAATTTGCCTTATTTCACGTGGCGAGACTCAGGCCAAGGCTTGAGGATCTTTTACATGCAAGTAAATCTACTAACATGGGGCAGCCGGCTTTACTTCCACTCCGAAGGAAGGCGTACGAAGGATTTTGTCGCCCTTAAAAATCCACGGCTTCCATCGAGTTTTTAACCCGCGAACTTGGGTATAACAGTCCGGAAGTCCTTCTCCTCTTTTTCTTTTTCCTTATATATATATATATATATATATATATATATATATATATATATATATATATATATATATATATAGTGTTGGCGATAAACTGCAGCCTTGTCTTACCCCCTGAGTAGTGATTATTTCTGAAGTTTTACTGGCGCCAGTATTAATTGTGATTGCAGTTTCTGTGTGACTTATTCGTAGTATGCAATGTTAATTGAGAAATACTGACTTACTTCGTAATACATGAAAGTGCAAATTGTGAATTTTTTGAATTTCTAATATTCCTTTCTAAGGGATTCTTTAGTTGGTATGAATTCAATGCTACTACATTGAAGTTATGTATTTACGTATTTATTCATTTATTTAATGTTAATTTCTAAATCTAAATAAGTGTGATAAAATATAGAGTTTAACGTCCTCTTTTCCCCTTTTATCGTTGTGAAAAAAACACTAAAATGTTCCATTTCATGATTTCAAAATATATAAGCGGCTGTTATAGTTCTGAGAGGAACGCCTGGATTTCAGATGGCACAGCCGCAATCATAGAGGGAAACTGGGGGCAAGGCATGGGCGAAGTTCACCGCCGATTTTTGCTCGTTCTGCGCATTTTCAGTTTGCATCATGAACCACGTGACCACAGCACGGGCACTTCGTTTGAAAGGTCCGACCAGAAGATGCAATACTTAAAAGAAATGGTTCATATATCTATTTCAATGACTCGGAACAATATGATAATTTTGGCATCTGGCTGCATTTAAAAGTCCCGCTAGAAGCAAACTGGTGCCTGAAACACCTTGGCTGACGTCGGATACGGCGCGCAGTAGCTCACCCATGTCTTTCCATCACGGTCGTAATCAAGAAAGGAAACAATCCACTTATTGTACAATCTTCAGATTTGGAATCTTTTGGCTAGAATAAATGTATCACTTAGCGACCAGGAAATCATTGCTACCCTTGATACTAATATTATGTTTTAGGTTTTCTCACAACGCATAGTATAGTCTACGAATTTTACAACGCATACATTTTCTATGTAGTTCGGTGTCTTCGAGATATAGCACCTGCCTTGTGCAGTTTCAAATCCAACGAAATGCTGCTGCTACTACTACAAAGTATGCCAGAAATATGAAAACAATGTAGTGTGGCTAATTTTACGT